CCTCCCTCTCCTCCCGCCCCCTCCCGACCGGACGGGACGGGTGAGGGCCTCGCGGCGCTCCAGTGAGCGCTGAATTTGTGTCGGCTGGTCGTGAGCTCTGTGAGTCTGCGAGGCCGGGGCCGGGGTCAGCCAGCACAGTGCCGCGGGCCGGCCGGGGAGAGCGCCGAGAGCGCTGCAGAGATGTGGAGCGCGCCCGAACAACAGAGCCCTGCCCGTACAGCCCGCACAGCCCCCGCGGCCGCGCCATGGTGGCCATGATGGAGGTCGACGCGGTTTCTAATACCCCGCTCGCAAGACGGCGCTGGCGTCCGCTCCCAAAGTGTCATCGTTGTAAATATCCCGCGGCTGTGCGCGCCGAAGTTTTGGCTATAAACATGCTGGCGGATCGCGGCGGCTGCTAAAACGGCACGCGGGGGTGCGAGTAGGTGCGACGAGCGAGCGGCCGAAAGGTTCAGGATGATACCGCGGCGGGTTTGCTTCTGGCCGCTGTGCGCCCGTGAGGCCGGCGATAGTAGGGATCATCAAGTAATTATGCCCGACAGTCGCCGTCACAAACCCGCCCATCTCAGCATACGAAGGCTCGCAGAGCGCCTGGCAGGTAGGCAACATCTCGCCTGCCGCGCACGCGTGTGCTGCGGGCTGGCCCACCCTGAGTATCGCAGGCGCTTGACCTCCCTACCTTACCGAATGAATCTGAGAAAAACTGACGTGCTTTCTCGACGACCTCGTCGACGACGATGGCGAGCGATGGAAATACCCAAGGAAATACCTCGACAGAAACAGTAGTTCCAATCTACCTTCGAACGAGACCCAGTGATAATTTGATATTAGTCTATTTGAAATTATTTTTTTCATCTTTTCGCGCTCCCTCCCCTCTGTGCCCGCGCCCCCACCCCGCGCCGCGCGCACGCTGCGCACTGCCACTGTCGCGCAGAAATACCATTATTCTTGCAGAAGGCAAAGAGGGGTGGATTTGCCCCAAATCGCGTTTGCCAACCTCGAGACGAAAATAAACGGCGGGAACGCGGATCGTGCGCGCCCGGCGACGACGCGAGGGGGCGGAGTGGATATGCGAATATGAAATTGGGACGCCCGGGGGTTTGCACTTTGGTTTATCGTCTCGCTGGAGAGTGGACGTTGCTCTTGCCGGCCGGCGGTGGGGGCAGGGAGTGCCACCCTGCTTACACGGCCAGCTTATTGGACCTTGCGAATCAAAAGTGGACTCGGGGGCCAAGCCAAGCTCGGCGCTAGCGCTCTCAACAGTGTGGTGGTGGGCCGCAGGGGGTGGTCGCGTTGGACGCTGTACTGCTTGTTGTCCCTGGGACCCTCATTCTGACGGCCCTTCGCCCCACCACCCGCCCGCCACGCCACGCCACGCCACGCGTTAGCCCCGCAGTGCTCAGCGCCGCTCAGCGCCCTGTCGACGTCCACGCACTAGCGCCGCGACCACTACACCGTTATTGTGCGCGTCGGCCCGGTAATAAATCACCTAAAAAAACTGACGAAGTGTGCGTGCGTGTGCGTGCGTGTGCGTGTGCGTGCGCACGTACGCGGACGCTCGAGTGGCTGGCGCGTCTCACGGAGGGGACGCTTTTCTGACACCATGTCTACATGACGGAGGAGCAAGCGAGCGCG